TCTCTCTCTCTCTCTCTCAAAAAATAAAAGCAAAACAAAACAAAACAAAAAACAAGGAGTTATTTTTTAATTGAAGCAGAAAGGGAAGAAGATGCCCCTGCAACTGATGTGGAAAGAAACATTGGTTACCAGCCCCAAATTTTTTATACTCTTGCAAATAAACAAGCCCTCCATTTGTTGACTATGAATGCTACTTGCCTTGTAATGGTTATTTGCTACTATTAAATATAAAATTTGAAATGGACACAATAATCATGGCTAATCATTACTTCTAAATCCTGTCATATTTAGTAGGGAAAGTAATAGTAGAGAGTATTAGCAGAGTTGAGAAAATAATATACTGATTACTCTTACTGCACTACATACATTTAAAGTCTTATGCCATTGAAATATGTAAAATATGTATATGTAAAATATAATAGAGTTTTAATAATTTTATAGCCATAGGCATGAAATAATTATACCATTGAACCTTAAATATATTGGAGAACAGATGGAAACATGAATCATCTAACAGCGGCATATAGGATTTTTAAAATCCATTGTGATATGTTCACCAAAACACATGTATTGAGAGTGTTCATAATAGCATCATTTTTAATAGTCTAAAACTAGAAACAGTCCAGATGCCAGTTAACAGAAGGATAGATCAATTATGGCATATTCCTGCAAGGAAAATTCCATGGCAATAAAAAATAAACCACTGAAAAAAAACATTAACATGGCTAGATGAGTAACAGATATTATGTTCAGTGAAAGCAGCAGCACAAAGGCATATATTTCATTTCTTATTTCATTTATTTCAAGTGTAAGACTAATTGATGGTGGGGCACCTGGATGGCTCAGTCAGTTAAGCATCTGACTTTGGCTCAGGTCATGATCTCGCAGTTCATGAGTTCAAGCCCCATGTCTGGCTCTGTGTTGACAGCTCTCTACCCCTCCCCTACTCACTCTCTATCTCTCTTTCTCTCAAAATAAATACACATTAAAAAAAAATTTTTTAAGACTAATTGATGGTGGTAAGTCAGAATAGTGTTTACCTTGAAAGAAAGGGGGCAAAGGGAAAGTTTTTACAGTACTGGAAATGTTTTATTTCTTGGTCTGGGTGGTAGTTACATGGATGTGTCCATATGTAATTTTATCAAGCTGGACACTAAAGATAATGTACTTTTTGTACTTCACATATGCTGTACCACAATAAGAAGGAAAAAATGTGAAGGAATTTGTATTTAAAATGATATGTGTTAATTTTGCTAGAAAGTCATAACTTATGAGCTGATTAAATATGATGTGGAGAAAGATGAACCTGTCCGAGATGGAAATGGATATTGCATCCGAGTTCCCAAAGGTACAGTAGATTTTTGCTCAGCTAACCTGTGCCCTTTCTTAACTTGATCAAGTAACTGTTAAGAACTAGCATATCATTGCTAAAATGAATATATGGTAAAAAAATTTTTAGAGTGGGGGGATAAAAGAGGTTTATTTTAAGTACCCTCAGAAAGAGTTACAGAAATTCCAAAAGATACTAATTTACCACTACATGTAACATAATTATACTTTGAAACCTAGCTTAACTTCTTAATTATGAGGTAAGTGTTTTGAGGAAAGGGATATGTAATCATGGTTGCAAAGCTATAGTTAGCTTTACAAGGTCTACCTTCAAGCTTAGACTACTGTGCATTTGTCCAAGTATGTGTGTAAATCATTATTCCATAAAATACTAGCATTTTTAGAATTACAAGTGTGGCCACATGGGATACTGTACTTTGTGTGTATGGTCTATATGTATGTATAGGATGTATATGGACATACACGTGCACGTGCATGGATAGTGACAGTTCCTTCAGCTAGCTTGTTGCCAATGGATTGTATGGCAACAGTTTTGTTTGGTTAGTTCGGTTTTTGGTTTCTTTGGTTTTTGTTCTTTAGCATTCACCACTTCTTATCATTGTGTTATTTTGCTCCAAAGCTGGGCATTTTTTAACATTTCTCTCCAGGAGTGAAAAATGCAAAGCTGCTAACTGAAAATTCTCATGACCTCTGTCGCTCCCACTCTACTATATATCTGAATTCAGACATACCCTACCTGTTTCAAAACCCCCTGTTCATTTTTTTTATCTTTTTTTTAAGTTTATTTATTTGGGAGGGGGAGGAGTGCAAGCAAGGGAGGGGCAGAGAGAGAGGGAGAGAGAGAATCCCAAACAGGCTCTGCCCCAACGCAGGGCTCAATCCCATGACACGGGGCTCGATCCCACGAGCCTGGGATCATGACCTGAGCTGAAATCAAGAGTCAGACACTTAACCAACTGAGCCACCCAGGCACCCCTATCACAAATTTTAAAATCTGGGAGTAGTTTGGAAAAAAACCTTATATGCTAATTTCAGCCCAGGGCTAATTTAATAACTGGAGTAATGTCCATTGGCAGGATTTAGGCTTAGATGAGGGATAAACATATTTTCTGTAAAGTGGGATAAAAATTATTTTGAACACAGTTGCTTTTCAGAGAATTTAATATCAACTTTACTAACAAATATATATGGAAGTTCAAGATCTAGTACTTGGAAAATCTATGCATATAGTCAATCAAAACAGATTGAAAGAGAATTTTATAAGTTTGTGTCTTGGAAATGCTATAAAATTAAGATGGAATGATGGGGATATCTCACTTGTGAGTTGTCTTAGGTTGTGGAAAATTAAAGATTGAGGTAAAGGAGAAAATATCTTCCATTTGTAAGTTCAGAAACTGATTCCTACTAATATATGCAAATTATTGAAATGATAAGCATGTAAATGTTGCTACCATACATAGAAAATGAAATCAATGTTTTATCAGCTTTATAAATGATTTATAATAAAGGTAACTGAAGGGGTACCTGGGAGGCTCAGTCGACTCTTGATCGCAGGTCAGGTCTTGATCTCAATGTCATGAATTCCACACTGAGTGTGGAGCCTACTTTAAAAAAAGGAGGAGGGGAGAGGGGTAACTGAAAATGCAACTTGAATAACATTGCATTACATTTTTCTGAGTGTATTTTAATTACAAAGAAAGTCTTTAATTTTTTCATTGTTGAAGACAGGTTTAGTACTAGCCTCTGTAAGGTTAAAAAATGATATTTGTCGATTTAGGGGCCATGTTTTAAGATGTCCATTTTTGAGTGTATGGCAACACTTTTATGAGAATGTTAGTAATAAAATTTGCCTACTGCTATCACATAAAATAACAATTTACTTTCTTCTGTCTTAGGTGAAGTTGGACTCCTTATTTGCAGAATCACACAACTCACACCCTTTAGTGGCTACGCTGGAGGAAGTGCTCAGACGGAGAAGAAAAAACTGAGAGATGTCTTTAAGAAAGGAGACCTCTATTTCAATAGTGGAGATCTCTTAGTGATTGACCATGAAAATTTCATCTACTTTCATGACAGAGTTGGAGATACTTTCCGGTTGGTTTCTTTGAGTTATTGAGTCAAAAACAAAAACATGCACAATTTGGCTTACTCCTAAATTGGAACTGCATTCCACTTTGGCTGCAGTGCCCCATTTCCCTCTATCTCTTTGGCATGTCCATCCAAACTTCTATATTCCCAGAAAATAAGGAGCAAACCACAGGAAGTGTCACTCTTCCTACAAGTGTCACTCCTGCAATGCACAGATAAGTTGGTTGAGCAACACCAGTTGAGAAATAGGCAGAAAACCTGTGCCTGATTTTTGGAGCCTAACTAACAGTGTATCCAGTTTCTCTCATTTATCCTCAGTTGTTACCAGTCACCCCTAGGATAGCCCAGGGTTTCACACTATTTCCAGTCATGGGGCTTTTCTTCAGATACAATCAAATGCAAGCTAATACGGAGCTGATCTAGCTGAAGAGGAAGTGAGGGGTTCTGAAATCCACTATTCACCTCCCTCCCACTCTCCATCCCTAACCATTCCCACAGAAACCCAAGTCAGCACCATGAAATTTGAAAGTCATTATAATAAGACCATGAAACTAATTCCCAACAACAGCATGGTCCTCCAGCTTCTCTCATGGTCCTCTCATGACACTTTGGTTTAATCAACTTCCCTCCTGTGCAAGCTCCCTGAGGCCAGGCCTTGTGTCTGCTGGTTCACTCCCCAGCACCTAGCACAGTGCTTGACACACATAAATACCTTTGCGTGAATGCATGCAGAAGGGATGGAAGTTGTCTGGCTGTAGTAGGCAGAGCAAGAATACAAATGAGGAGACCTGAGCTCCTAGGCTCACCCCTACTCCTGGCCAGCTGTGCTGTCAAGGCTGGTAACCTTTATCACCCATGAAATGAAGGTCCCAATGATCCAGAGTGTTCCTTCCATCTTTGGAGTATTTCCATGACTCAGGATCCATACCATGATTTTATGCAACCTTCATGTTACTAAAAAGATACTTCCAGGAGATCTAAAGAATTTTTAAATGTAGACAAATTTTAAAGCCTTATTAAGTAGACGAGTGTAGGTTGGGCACTAACGTTATAATCTCCCTGTGAATAAAGCATGGTATTTTATTTGCTACTCAAAGCTTTCTCATTGCCATGAGACCCTGAAATACAGGCATGAAACCAACCAAAGTTAGTGAGTGAGAAAAGTGGGAGACCTAAACACAACAAAAAGTTACTGAGATTTGTTCTTGATTTCCAGTACCTTTCTTGGGCCAAACCTGTATTTCAACATTAGAACATTCTTTGTATCGTGTTTCATGTGGTGAGATTGGAATTCCACATTTTATTATTTAAATGCCTTTGTCTATGCCTTTGTCTTTTGTTTCTCAAGCAGAATGCCTCTCCTGTGACTAAGTTCCAGGGGATTTGAGAGCAGAGATGGGAAAACAAATGCAGACACCTTGCAGGGCCTAGAAGAGATGCATGCTCTGCCATGGAACCGTGGGCCAGGGACCACCAGTAACCTCTGCTAACCTTGCCTTTTCTTCCAGCTGGAAAGGGGAAAATGTGGCCACCACTGAAGTCGCTGATATCGTAGGACTGGTTGATTTTGTCCAGGAAGTAAACGTTTATGGAGTGTCTGTGCCAGGTACACATAAGTCTCTGAGTAAACCTATACAGTAACTGAACATCATTTTAACCCCATGGCAAAGTTTGTCATCACTTTTGCCTCCCTGCTGGAGAACCAGTCTCTTTCAGCCACCTGGGAGTAAGGGGCTGATGTCTGGTTTATATTCCATTATAAATCAGCCAACTCAGCACATCTGAACTTGGCCTTCCTCTGTGGCTCAGCTCCCCAGCTGTTCTTGGGCTCTCAGGCAAGCCAGATCTCTGCAAGATGCAGGGTCCCATGCTACATTTGGCATGCCTCGAGAAAAGACGTGTCAGGCTTGATAGCTGGGAAATGGTATCTTGGCCTCGGAACCGAGTATCACAAGTAACAGCAAGTATATTTGCTAGGAGAAAAAACTGAAAAGGAGCTGCCTTTGTCCAGACTTCTTTTAAAACAGATCCTTGACCCCAGCTCACCCCAGTGAGTTTCAGAATCATCACACAGAGTGGTGTCACCAAGCCTTCATCTGCAGATCTGCCTCTGCCAGCAGAGTGGGGAGAGCTGAGGTTTGACTTCGGGTCCTTGGCTCCAGTACCTGGGGCTGTTTGACTTCAGACAAATCACTAAAATTAGGGGTAATATCAGCCCTGACGTTGAGATTGTTAAGAGAACTCATTCGCTTCAATTATGTAAACACTAAACATACACCTACCAGACGTATACATGAGTGCTGTCATTGGAAGAAATCGTTTTAATTATATAGATGAGAGAGGATTAAAACTTCCAAGTCACTGTCCAACTCTAAGGTGCTAGGGATATTAGTATTCCCCCAGAACTCAGTATTTGGGATTCTCACCTATATTCAAAATAGAAATCCAAGAGTCTCTCTTTCCTAAGCTGTGGTGGTTTCACATAACTTTGTGCTATCTTTTTTTTTTTTTTTTTTAAGAATATTTGAGGTTTTCTCTTCCCTGTTCCTCTCCAGCACAACGACAATGATATGATAGGAAGTGCAGCCACATCTCAGGTCACAGAGCGTGACCTGAGTGCACGCTGCTCATGTTGGAATGTGGGCTGAATTAACACGAGAGCCCATGGCAAGGTTGTCAGTCATCACGCTGAGCTGGGCTCTCACAGACCCCACCTGGCGTGTTGTGTGCACCTCTAAATGCTGGATTTAGGTAGCAACACAAAAGAATGTGTATGAGAAGGTGAGAGAATGGATTGGAAGGATCGAGTCCACTGCTCTTCAGAGTGGGGCCCCTGGCCCAGCACCACTGGGGAGCTTGTGAAACAACATGATTTCTCAGGCCAACCCCAACCCTTACTGAATCAGGTTCTCTGGGGTGGGGCCCAGGGACCTGTGTTTTAACAAGCCATCCAGAGATTCTTAAAAGCAATGATGTTTGACTTGGGGGTGATGAAAATGTTCTAGAACTAGATAATGGTGATAGTTACACAACATTGTGAATGTATCAAATACCACTGAATTGGGCACTTTAAAATGGTTAAGATGATGAATTTTATGCTGTGTGTGTTACCACAAATTTTTAGAAGATACTAAATTTTGAGAAGCACTGAAGCCTCGTCTGACCAATCATCAGAATCATCTGGGAAACTTTCATTTTTTTTAAGTTATTGAAATTCAAATTAATTAACCTGCAGTGCAATATTAGTCTCAGGTGTAGAGTACAGTGATTCAGTCTGGGAGAGCATTTAAAGCCTAGATCTAATGGATCAGAACCTCTGGGGTTTGGGACTCAGACACTTCATGTCTTCTTTTAGTCCCCAGGTGACTCTAACAACCAGTAAGGTTTGGGAGTCACCGATCTAGAACAAAAAGGAGATTAATGGTTTTCACATGGTTGGAAGGCAGTCAAAGTAGAACAAGGAGCAGGTGTGCTTGCCATACCCACAGCAAGCAGCACGAGAGCCAAGGGATTGAAATGACCAGGGAGCAAATTTTAGCCTGAGATGTCTCCTATAACCAGAGAGGTTAATAACACAAAAGTCTATCTCCTGAGGTGGGGAATGGCCCACCAGCTGGGACGTGTAGAGAGGCTGGATGTCCACTCAAGATCCTGTGAGAATTCTTGCTGCATTGAAATATTAGACATAGGGGCACCTTGGTGGCTCAGTCAGTTGAGCATCCAACTCTGGATTTTGGCTCAGCTCATGATCTCAGGGTCCTGGGATGGAGCCCCGAGTCAGGGTCTGCACTGAGCATGGAGCCTGCTTGAGAGTCTCTCTCTCTCCCTCTTCCCCTCCCCTGCTTGCTTGCTCTCTCTCTCTCAAATAAATAAGATGGAAAAAAAAATATTAAAGATAAACTGAGAAGTGTCTCTCAGCTTTTAGATTCTGTGATTCTCGATGCCATGCCAGCCACTGGCTGGCCTGACAGGCACATGGCCAGCCTTGCTGCAGCCCAGAAATGTGGCAGGTCTATCTAGAAGGCAATCTACCAGGGTGAATTTCAGTATCAAAGGGCTCAGCAAGGCCTTCACAGATCTCAGCTTTGGACCAGGAAGGTACACCAAAGTGTAAGCCCAGTTGACTGTTATTAGATGTCACACCAGAACTTCCCAACTACTCTCTAGAACTTTTTGTTCTCAACAGAACTTTCTGCAGTGATGCAAATGTTCTATGTGTGCACTGTCCACTATGGTAGCCAATAACCACTACATGGCTATTAAGGACTTGAAATTGTGGCTAGTACAACTGAGGAATTGAATTTTTTTTTAGTTTGTGTTATTACAATTAATTTTGATGGCCAAATGAAACCAGTGGCTACCATACTGGACAGTGCAGCACTAGAGAAACTCTGGCCAGAATAGTTGTAAACTGGAACCTCCCCCCTGGAGCTAAACTAGCCCCAAACCAACCCCTGGGAACTGGGGCAGAGATCTGAGACTCAATAGGCCTATTCGTCTCAGTTGGGCATTGTCTCTGTCAGAGCAAGAGGCAAGGAGCCAGTCAGTGCTGAAGATTTCTGTTGCATCAGCCTCTGCCTTGATTGGAAAAGAAGCTTATTGGAGACATTTGAGATTCCTAAGATGGTTGCTTTTGAGCAAACTACCAGGGACCCCTAGAGAAAGAGGGTCCTGTGCCCTGTCTCCCTCCTTCAGGTATGAGGCAAACTGTAGAGGCGTGCATTTCCTTTCTCTTAATGTTTCCTCTTGTTTCCTGCCTTCTTTGGAGCCACAGGTAAACACACAATCACCATGGGAGAGGTTTCAAAAGCTGGGGCCCAGGTGGCAAAGGGCACAAGGCGGCCCCTTCCCCTCTCTGATTACAGCTAGGTAGTTCAGCGAAGTGGATCTCAATGGATCTCAACTCCCACCCAGTCTGCTGGATCAGGCAAAAGATGTATTAATACCTAATTATTGCTGTCTTTACAAGAAAACAGTGTAGTCATTGTGCTTAACTCCTCCCCACTTACCTTGCTGCCCAGACAGGAAGGAGCTGCTGGATCCTCGTCTCTGTGGAGACACAGCCTTGGGGAATATAGCTCATCAATGGGAGGGCCCACAGCCACTTGCCTTTGCACCTCCCATCACCTTCCTGACCCGCAGCTTCTCTGAAATGCAGAAAGGCAAAATCTCAAAGGTGGTATTTGTGTCTGGATGCACAACAGACCTGACACTACACCCTAAAGAACAACCCGAGCTCAATTGTTCATGACAGTGGAACAAGGACTTCTCACTGGAGTCCAAAAAAAAAAAAAAAAAAAAAAAAAAAAAAAAAAAAAAAAAAAAAAAAAAAAAAATTCCCTCAGCCACCAGTAGGGCCTGTTTTCTACTCTGGTGTTTTCATTTAGACTGCTGAGAAGGATGACCGTTGATTGCCTCAGTCTGGTTTCTGACTTTGTCTATTGTTTGCTGTGTGAACTTGAACAAGTCTCGTACTATATCTTTAAGCCTTAGTACTTTCATCTGTAAAATGGAGATCATATTTATACCTTTTCAGAAGGTTGTTGTGAGGGTTGAATGAAATAGTCCATAAAACACACTTAGTATAGGGTCTGGCATATAATGAAGATTTAATCAGCATATAGCTCTTGTTATTGTTGTTATAGTCACTTTAGAATAACTTCCACATATACCTGAAATAAAAATTCCGACTATCCAAAAGAAACCCATGTCAATGTTCTCAGCCCACTTTGAACTAGGAAAACATCATAAATAGTATAACACGTCTAATTTTTTCTCTTTATTTCTAGGTCATGAGGGTCGAATTGGCATGGCCTCTATCAAAATGAAGGAAAACCAGGAATTTGATGGAAAAAAACTCTTTAACCATGTTGTCGATTACCTGCCCAGTTATGCAAGGCCCCGGTTTCTAAGAATACAGGTGAGAGACTTCTTGTTGTTGAGTTCAATTATCCTCTCTCTCTTAGAGACCGCTGCGTCTTAGGGAACAACTCCCTTCTACCACGGTGGCCATATTGGCCAGATTGTCACTACCCTTGCCAGGAAGCTCCACAAGGAAGCAGAAGTATCAGAAAATAGAGCTAGCAGAAGCCAAATCCTGATCCCCTTTTCCCTAAAGTGACAGACCAGGTCATTCAGCAGCAGTATTAGCAAATAATTCACAAAGTCTATGGTTTGATGAAGTATGACAGATACTTAAAATGTTTCCAGTTTTAAAGGATGGAAAAATCCACTGAAGCTCTACACCTTCCTACCGTGTGAAACTTAGTTGGGAAGCATTAGCCAGTTGGAGCTGTCAAATGTTTAACTATCACCACTAGGTGTCCCACATCACTAGAGGGATGTGTTTTTTCGCAAACATTAATCCATGTTAGCCTAACATTCTCTCACTTTTGGACTCTGAGCAATATGATTCTGTAGCTGAAGACTTGAGAAAAGAAATGTTAGGCTACCAGCTATTGTGGAAGTTGTATGTTATTTCTGTTGATGTTCATAAAGCATGGACGTTTATAATGAGATGGTGGAGAGACGTGAAAATTGAAATACACTCAGATCATCCATCACCTATCAATTGAAGGAAAAAAGCTTCAGCCTAGTGGACAAACAGGCTGAGAAACTAGAGCGGTCTGTGTGTAGATGATCCCTAACCCCACCCCACCCTAAATCAGGATATTTTAGTAAAACTGGAAGCTCACTAAGCAACAGACTGCCCTGCAGGGGAGGGGTAGAGGGAGAGAATCCCAAGCAGGCTCCATGCCTGCAGTGCAAAGCCAGATGTGGGGCTCAAACTCATGAACCATGAAATGATGATCCGAGCCAAAACCAAGAGTCAGACACTTATCCGACTAAGCCACCTAGGCACCCCTGCTCTGCTCTGCATTTCACCCTCCACAGCCACTCCCTCCCCACAGGTGATCTTAAAGCTTCAGAGGAATGAAAAGCTACCTGCACAAAGGGCCCCCTAGTGGAGCTTCTGTAAACAGGAGGTAGTTAACTAGCTTCCCCAACCTCTCTCAGGAGCCAGAGCTACCAGACACCCCACCCTCTGCCGTTTGCCCGAACCCTAATCTGTTCACAAAACACTGCAACAGTGTGGATTGTTTGATGTTTTCCAGGACACCATTGAGATCACTGGAACTTTTAAACACCGCAAAGTGACCCTCGTGGAGGAGGGCTTTAATCCTGCAGTCATCAAAGATGCCTTATATTTCTTGGATGACAAAGCAGAAATGTATGTGCCTATGACTGAGGACATTTACAATGCCATAAATGATAAAACTCTGAAATTCTGAATATTCCTAGGAGGGTAACTCATATTTCCAGAAAGAAATTAAAAGGACCTAGTGCAACCACTTGATATAATCCAACCTTAATTTGATTGAAGATTGTAACATGCCATTTTTTATGCATTCCAATAATGGGAGACTTTTAAAAATTATACCCGAGCCGTTGCACGTGAAAATATTTAGAGATGATTAGTTTTCAGTTTGCACCTACTGTTTGTATTTGCAGACTAAGCTTGTTAGAGGATGCATTATTTTTTAAATATGTAATAAAA